TGCCCGTAATCTTAGCAAGGGTCGGAGGCTGCGGGGAAGATCTGAGGAGAGAGGGAGGAGGAGAAGTGGGAGGGAGGGAGAGGAGGAAAGGAAGGAGGGAGGGGGGGAGGAAGATGGAGAGATGGGAAGAGGAGGTGAAAGACGGGGAGGGAAGAAGGAGGAAGGCAGGGGAGGAAGAGGAAAGGGGAAGTGAGAGGAGAGGCAGGGGAGGAGGGGAGAGGGGGACGGAGAGAGTGTGATATTAATATTCACATTTTTTTTATATTCTGAATGGATTTACGCCCCTTCAAAGCGCCATTGTTGGGAGTACGTTGTGACGTTGTAATATGCAGGGTCCTTTGGGCGGTAGAGCTGCTTTCGGGGAGGCTCTCCAGCTCTATAGAACGAGGAAGAAGTCGGAGAAAATGCGCAGAAGAGGATGATTTGACACTTTGGAGTTTTTCCCCTTATTCTTCTGGATGAAATATGTCCTTTTCTTCTTCATTCTTACTTTAAGAAATACATTATACACTCCTCATAAAAAAGGTGAAGGAAGACGATGTAATCATAAATAATCTTGAATTTAAGTAAACTACATTCACGAAATTCGTAAGCCATGTGTGACATAATATACCCCGCGACTGATGACTTGAGACCTTATAACAGCGTCTTAAAGAATGTCTTTATTAAGTAACAGCGAACCTTTTGAAGCGAGACGCGGATGAAGAAAGATTAAGAAGGGGGAAATGAATGGTGTTATTAGAAATATTTTATGAATACAAGAGCCTGTATTACAGGTATTTATTAATACTATTATCTTTATTATGCAGTGGGTCTGGGTAGGTAGGAGGGTGATAAGAGAAAGAAAATAGGAATGATGTTCATGGTTACGATAATGATTATGTTTTTTTTGAGAACTTATTATAATAGTAACACTGGAATTAATGATAAATGATAGAATGTACAGAACTAAATATAATGAAAGAACTAATGATGATTATAATATTGATTATAACAGTAATAGATCATCATACAGTTAATATCATGAATATCTAATCTATCTCATGACACAGCTCAGCATTTTCATAAACATTTAATAAAAACAAAATCCCTGAAGTAAACATATCACTCGCCCGACTGAAGCAAATGCACTGCCCGCCACAGCAGCCCAACTCACGTGTGTATTTTTTCCTGCATTTTCAGGTACGTGAAAACTTCAGCTCAAACTCGCTTCGGCAGATACTAGTCGTAAGTAACGGGTTTGATGTGTATTGTGTATGTTTCTGTTTTGGGGCGAGTTTTACTTTTCCTTTCTCTCTGGCCTTTTCTGCTTTTGCGAGGGGGTCGGTGCGCTTCTTCTCTCCTTCTTAATCTGCTTCATCTGTGTTTGGTTTTTTCCATTCTCATATTACTATTTCCTTTTTCTGCATTCTGGATCTTCCACTTTCTCTTTTTTTTCATAGTCTTCATTTCACTCTCACATGCATATATATATATATATTATATATATATATATATATATATAATATTATATATATATATATATTATATATATATATATATATATATATATATATATATATATATATATATATATATATATATATATATATATATATATATATATATATATATGTATATATATATATATATATAATATATATATATATATATATATATATATAAATATATATATATATATATATATACATGTATATATATGTATATATGTATATATATACATATATATATGCATACATATATATATAATATATACATACATATATATATATATATGTATATATAATATATTATATATTATATATATATATATTATATATATATATATATATATATATATATATATAATATATATAATATATATACAAATACTGAATCTCATCGACGTTGTGTATTAATTGCCGATTTTTCTCAAAGTTACGATCGCCTCAGAAGCGATTTGAAAAAATGTCCATTGGAACGGAAATAACGTCCGTAATGACAAAACCCTCTTTTTTCTCTCCTAATGTTAAGGCGACGTAAAAGAAATCGTCGGTTGGGCGCTCCGAGGTAACATATTCATCATTAAAAAAACCTTCCCAAAGTCGCCTGGATTAGAACTAAAAAAAGGCGGGAAAAAAATAAAAAGACTAACGACATGCGTCCGCCCTCCGCCGCCGCCGCCGCCGCCTCTGCCGCCGCCGACTCGCTCGCGAATGTTCTTTGATTAAAACCCTTCCCCGAGGCGAGATCAAAGGGCCTCCCTTGCACCGGCGGTATATTGACAATACCAATCAGTCCTCGGGAGGTCCTCAGAACACCCCCTCTCTCTCCCCCTCCCACAACCCTCCCTCCCCTTCGGGAAAACGCGCGCGTCACTTCCTTCTTGGAGATTTTTTTGTCTCTCTTCCTCTTCTCTTCTTTACTATTTATTTTGTCCACCAAGTATTTATATGGGAATTCTAAAAACAACATTATTTCTCGTAAGGAAATGTAGTATTTCCTTTCCTTTGATTTGCTCTTTGCTCTTCCTTCATTGCGTTTATCTTCCTCTGCTTTTGCCTATCCTCCGGCTTTACTTATCTATCAGTATTTAAGATTTTTATATCGAGAATTATGGAAGGAGAAAGAGTTGTTTTTAATAATGCAGACATTAACGACTAATTATTCGCTGGAATGCCGATGGCCCCGCGGTCGCTGGCCGTCCATAGCGCGATGTGCCGGCGGTCGCGGAGTCTGCTCTCGGCGGGAAATATGCCTGCCGCGTTATTTCATTACTCTCTCAAATGACGCAAAGTCTGAAAAAATATGAGGTTTCTTCGTAGTCTTTTATTAATGGATGCGCCGTGGAGAGATAATGCCTGGAAACAAAATTAGGATAATTGGATAAAGATAAAACGAGGAAAAAAGGTTAGAATAAGGATCATGATGATAAATACATCGAGCCGGGTTTCTTTGGAGTCGTCAGAGCGCGTGTCTCGTTAGCTCTGGGCTCTTGGGCCAGCGAGCGCTTTGCTGTCTGTGTGGGCGCCGCTGCCTCTGGGGGCGCGAGCACGAGGGAAGCGGGAGGCGCCCTCGGGGATGCCAGCGGCCAAGGGCGCCTCCTCCGCGTGGCTCCTTCTCCGGTCCACTTAGCCTATCCACCCTCTCTTTCACTATCTTCTCTTCCATTTTAGCTTATATTTCTCTTCTCCCTCCTTCGCCTTCCACCGTCACCTCTCCGACCTTCTCTCTCTTCACCTCCGCTTCCACACCAACCACATTACTCCACCTCCACATTAACCCCTTCCCCATCATCCCCACCTCCACATCAACGGCCACCCCCTCTGCCCCCTCCTCCACCCTCCACGTCTCCACTTAGGCAACTGTCTCCTAATTAATGACTGGCGAAGTGCTGTGATTAATTGGATTTTACATGCGTGAAAAATTGAGCTTCTGGATTGCTTCTCCTTTTTTGGGCTAATTGGCAACCCTAGGGGATACATACTTATTATTATATTTTTTTAAATAAAAAAGCATTTTATTGTGTCAATACATTCGGCCGGTCGTTATTTAAATTTTGTCCGTGCTGGTGACATCGGAAATGTTGCTTTTTCTAACAGAAGGTCCGGTTACTTAGCTTGGCATATTTTTCTATAATTTCTTTTATATAGTACGATAATGTAAGATCAATTTGCTATCGGATCCGAGAAAAGTTCATGGGATGAATTATTTCGAAAAGAAACCGACAAAGACACTTCTGAGGGACCGATGCCTTTGGATCCCGACGGCAGGACCTGATCTCTTTCTTTTTCTCTTTCTCTTCTCTCTCTCTCTTACTTTCTCTTATTCATTCTTCTCTGTTGCCCTTCTTCCTCTTTTCCCTCCTCCCTTTGCTCTCCCTTCCTTCCCACTCTTCCATTTCTCCCAGTCACTCTCTCGGGCTCACCCCTCCGTCTCCCATCACTTGTATTTTCCCCTTAAACCCTTCTTATCATCTCGTCATATTTTCCCCTTCCTGCCCCCCTCTCCTCGCCTCCCGCCCTCTTACTTCATTTATCTGCACCTGTCTCTATCTCTCTCAGTTCTCGCGGTTCTACACTTGTCAGCTCTCTGCTTTTTGTTTTCCTGGTTTGTCTGTCTGTCTGTCTGTCTGATTGTTTCTGTCTTTGACTGTCCGTCGGTCTCTGTCTTTCTGTCAGTCCTCCTCCACATCTTTTTTTTCGTGTCCTGTCCTTTCTCAAGCTTTTATCCTCTTCTTTATTTTCCTTCGCCGTCCCTTTCTTGAAACCGCCAACTTATTCTCTTTCTCCTTCCATCGTCCTCCTCCTCTACCCCCTCCTCCTGCTTTCCTCCTACCCCTCCACCTCCTCCCTCATCCCCCCCCTCCTCCGCCGCGTCAGGGTTAATGAGAGATGACGGGCCAATTCCCCCAGGGGATTTTAGCCGATCCGGGCCCAAATTGAGGCAACACTCGGGTTTTACGAATTTAGAGCAGGTTACCGCGGATTATGGCGACTTCGGGCGTAATACATGACCCCCTTTCCTCTCTCTCGCTTCCCCTTCCTCGCCTTCTCTCTCTTGCTTCTTTTTTCTTCTCCTTTCGTTCTTTCATCCATATTCTTTTTTTCTATTCTTCGTCTTCTTTTCCATTTCTTTCTTCCTTTTCTTCTTCCTCCACTTCTTCGTCTTAGAAGTACTGTGATGATGGTGAAGTATTTTGTGTGTGTGTGTGCGTATGTGTAAGCGTGTGTTTTTCTAAACATGTTTTTGTTGGAAAACTTGTAATAATAACTAACACCACTCTCATCTCTCCTTGCCTAATCGCGGGCCATCCATCCCCGTCTCTTCGTTTCACTCCAATCAATTACAATCAGAGTTCTGGCAGCGAAGGCCAAAAATTCATTAGCACAGTAATACAGTAAACACGATACCTACCTCCCCCTCCCACCCCGTTTCCTTCTCCTTCTTCCTCTTTCCTTCCTCTCCTCTTTCCCCCTTTCTCTTCTCCTCCCTCCTTCCTTTCGTCCCTCCCCCTTCTT